TGTTTCATGACTGACAACAACCGTTTTCAGAGGCACTCTCTTACGTAAATCTTGATGTTTATCGTTCGATTCGTGACAAAAGATTTGCTGCGCTCTCCACAGCTGCACAAGGCTTGCCACACCAGAAACTTCTAGAGAAACTTTGACTTTTTCTTAGTTGTTGATAAAATCTTCATCCAGAAGCTGGCAAAAGTGAGAAGAACGTACATTTCATCATTCATCAAACAGCAACCTTTTTGGTGGAAAAAATCAATTTTCGAGTCATTGAGATTTCTGTCTGGTGTCGTCTGAACTTTATAAGCCTTGAAATTCATATTGGTTTTGATTCGACGTGCGGTGCTCTCACGCAACCTACTTTATTGCCCATTTCCCCATTGAATAACCTTGGATTATTCGCAAATTTCTCGACATCTTTCTTCACTGTTTGTGGGTGTGTAAATCCACTTTTCTAATCCGAACACACTTTTCGGTTAAAATTTAGAGTTTGCTTGAACAGCTCAGTAACGTTTGATACGGTCGTTCTATGAACGTACTATGAAAATGAAGAGGTAAAAACCTCTTGCAATTTTCCGGTAGATCTACGATGGAAACATGTTAAAAATATATGTTTTAAACCCATGTTTAAAGCGGTTTTAGAATAGCATTGGGAAGAAGGAAAATAGGAAAATGAGAATATTTTATATAATTTATTTAATTTTTAGTATTATGTCGCGTCTAGTGTGTGTAGAAATGTACAATTTCTATTCAACATTCAGTTAACTTTAAATTTAATTTTAAATACTTGCTAACGGTATTAAATCTCACATTGGACAACTACTTCAAATAATATTAAAATTTGAAATGTTAGATGTAGTTGTTTGTCGAAAACACGTCCAACGGGTAAAATCGATTTACACTTTAATATCCTTTCAATTTAAAGTTTTAAAAATATTTTTAACTTAAAATTCTTTGTCTTTAGCGTGTAATCCCCTGAGTAAGAACATTCAAGAGACCAAAATCTGAACAATAAATAACGCGGTCAAATTGAAACCAAAGTTTCAGAACATTCAGAATAACCTTGTTGGTAACCAGTGAGATTTTCCAGCTCTCATACATTTTGAAACTGAAAATTTAAAAAAATGTCTTGCGCATCAATGAAGTTCCGGATTAAAGATTATTTCTTCCTGTAAATTTGCGCAAGTGGTAAAGATCCGAAGAGTCATCACGTGCTAAAATCAGAACATGGATATTTCACTTTTTGTTGTTTCACAAGATTAATAGAGTCCAGAATAATTGGTATTCAAAAAAACTTCGAAATAAAATAAACCTAAAACATATAATATTATTAAAATATCTCTTAAAACATGGATAGAGCCATCGGTACTTTTGAAGGCCGAAAAGTCGAATTCATTTTCTAGCTCTACATTTCTGACGACATTGAAACGTTTTTTTTTTAATGTTCTTTTATTAGCGCCAATTACTATCTCTCTCCATTTCGTTTCACCCTTTATTCATTTAGTAGTTAAGTTAATTTTCCTTTTACTGGTAGCTTTCTTAAGACTTTCACCGTCCTAATGCACTGGTAACTTTTTATATATTTAAAATCCCTTGTTCCAACTTTAATGTGTTAGAAAGGGTAACTTGAAGCGCGGCGTTCGCGTTATATGTAGAATTTTTTGTTCTATTCATCATGAGAATCTCTTAAATATGAAACAAAAGTTTCTTGCGCATTTTCAATTACTGGTGGTTTGTGAACTGATTCGGCCACTAATTATAACAGAATACGAGTACTTGACTGGCTGATAGTAAAAGCCGATTTCAATTTAAACTCGGATTCCTTTTAATCGGTTGATTAGTGCTCGAATAGATTTATCTATTTACATGCAATGGTTGTGCTAAGCTTACAAATTCGTTACATCAAGTTTAAGCTAATTCCGAAACATAATTAGTTTCCTGAAAATTTGTGTTTTGTCGGAGATTGGGATGATAATGCGATTTTTGGGTACTTAGGGATATGAGTCAGAAATCCTTTGATTCGCGATAGTAAGTAGTATAAAGCTGGCCATTTGAGTAATTTCATAGCATGATGCAACATATCACGTTAATAAACCATCATGAAAAATGGCCTGTTGCGCAAAATCGATGGAGTTATCAAAATTTTGAAGCGGCAAGCAGCCATATTTTTAGGATAAAATATTTCTTAATTATGGAATTCATTATACATGGTGTTTGGATAATGCGTTAAGAAATTTTTAAGGGCGATTATTCAAAATAATGATAATAAGTTATGTAACAAAAATTCGAAAATATTTTCCGAGTTACAGCTCATCACAATTTATTTTTTTCCTTTCCTTTTTTGACCTATTCTGGATATTTATTCGCTAATCAAATTGAAAATCGGTACAGAGTCTTAGTGATCTATAACTCTCTGATATGAAATTTTTTCTCCACTTTACCACTAGATGACACTTTACGTGAAATCCAAATTTATTTTAAATTATCTTTTTTGGCATGCCAAATATCGCAAAAAGTGATGTGCGATTTTAAAGATTAGAAAATACTAGACAAAGAATGTGTTCTTCACACCACTCGAAAAAGTCTTCGTTTAGGAGCAAATCGACATCAAAGTTTTTATCACTCTCAAACCAGCCTTGGATTTAATTGCAATCGCAGTAAATCAAGTCGTCTGGCTTTAAAATGTGACAAATTTGACAATTTATAGTAATTACTGTAATCACTGTTCAATTTAGACTACATTTTTCTGTTCTCAATCCACTAAATTAAAATGCATGAAGAATGTTCAAATGTTGCGTTTGAATTCAGCACAAGAAATCAACAGGCTTTTCCTGAATTTTGAATTTGTGTACGAATTTCATTATTCACCAACTTACTTTGTAAAAATACAAAGAATAATTTTTGATCTGGAGTTATTCTCAGAAACTGTCGTGTAGCGACAAATAATAACGATAATTCTCAGGACTTTGTTTCATATTTTATTATGATTTGGATACAATACAAGTTTCTGAAAGTGTTCTGTAAGTGAATAGAAGAGCGTATGGAGGAATGTTATTCGATACGAAAAGGGACTTCGTTCATTCAAAGGTCGGAACTGAATTCCCTTGTGGAACACCCGCTTTGCTATTTTATGCTTTAGTCGAAAGTGGTTTTCAAACATTCTACCAGAAAAGTTTGTGAACGCAGAAACCTCTCAATATATTTAGGTCTAATAAACAGGAAATTTACAAGATAACTAATTTGTGTTTTAATCAGTCACTCTAAATTCTGTTTAGAGGTTTGGAAATGCTGAGGAATAAATATAGTTTACTGCTCGGTGATGTTTGTAGATATGCTAGAAGCAAAATTGATTCTAATTATGCCTAATAAAGTTATGATTTTAGCCACATTTGTAAAAGGTGGCAAAAATGAATTAACTAAACTGCGAAATCAGACGCATTGGATCTGATATTTGCAAAGGAATTATTTTGGCGACTTGTTAAAGAAATTAGTGAAGCACCCAAAGAACTTGGTTGAGGTTCCGACCAAATTGTTAAAATTGTTTCAGAATTAACAAAAACTATACAACCTATATAAATGGAATGCGAAGGAAGCTGAATTTGTGGCCCTATCATTTTTCTGGCGTATTTTGATTCCGGGTTTGTGTTCTGCAAGGTACTATTCAGAACTCCGGAATTAGATGTTTTATCGCTTTAAAGGTATAACGTTCAAGATTGCATTTTTGCGATATTTGGAAAAGTTTATATTGTTCGCAAGACCACAATTGAATCAGATTAATAGGTCGACTTAATTAGAGCAGTTGTATTATTGATAACTATCGGAAGATCTGTCCATGAAAAGTAAAAACATTTTGCAAAAATACGCATTATTAACAATAAACGTAAAAATTTTCTCCAGCTCATTCCCCAGATGAGTTTTTTTACTTAGATCCAAAATAGCGGAATTTAAAAGAATAACCAAACTTTACGACCGAATATTTATGGTTATTCCTTCCTACAACCTCATTTCTGCTTGTTTTATTCTGCGCTCTACCTCCAAGAATATTAAATAAGTCAGTTACATGCAGCAAACTCATCTTTTCACAATTTGCGTAAGTTGTGTGACTTTTACCTTATTCTAGGGCCAGCAAAAATTGCCGAAACCATTGTTTCATATTTGTTTTATGAGAACATCATTATGAGCTACATATCGATTATTAAAACCATTATTCTTTGGATTTACAATACAATTTTCCGAGAGCTATACAGAGTGTTTCAAATTAAGTGCGCACTATTACTAACTTTTTATTATGGTAACGGTATGGCTTAAAACATGTATATTTATTAATGCAAAAGATCTGTAGAAGCAATAAAATTTGGAGTATTTTAATGGGTTGTCCCTATTCTGCATAGATAAAATTAATTTTGAAATATGCTTGTAGATTAGTGGTTCTAGTAAGGCTCCAGAATAGTTGCGGAGCCAGTTTGAGAATGTCAATAGTTGCAGGCACAATCTTGCAAAATAATTTCAAAATAGATGTGAACCTTTGGCCAAGTTCGTTGGCCATCTAGCTGATCAGACTTTGTACCATCAGATTTATTCTTTTCGGGTTTGTTAAGAGTGGCGCTTCATAAACGCCATGATTTTTTAAAAAATCTTAGCATACGGATAACCAGTCCCAAAAGATGTGGGTTTTGAGCCGAAATGTAATAAAATGAAAAGTTTCTCTTCTCTTCTGTTCTCTTCGACTCCTAATTTTGTTAGTAGCTGGCGATATTTGAAATTTAGAATATTTCGCAAAATTGTATTTCACTTTTGTGGAATTTTTAAAAGTATGAAGTTGGAAATATTCAATTGTCTTAAAAATGCAAAAAATGTTTCCCTGACTATTTTCGATATGTTCGCCGACTTTTTTCGAACTTTTCCTCAAAACAGGATATTTAAAAAAAAAGTTTACGAACTTAAAATGCAATGATAAAAATATGTTTTAATTTTTTTTTTGATTTGTTAGGATTTGGTTTACTTACCGACTGATCAGATTTGGTCGAGCCATCACTTGATGCTGGACCCCCAGTAAAACAACGATAAATAATGCGCTGCTGAAAATTGTGGTATTCATTTTGAAAAATGATTTCCGGAAAAAGCACCAATGAGTACACCAACTGAACGTCTGCAAAAAACACTTTATTGATAAAAGCACAAAAAACCGTTTCACTGATGTCCGTTTCACAGCGATCACAATCTTTTTGTAGGCGTTCGAAGAAGAGACAAATAAAATAAAATTGATTGATTATGGAGTGGGAAAAATATATGAGATATTGTTTGATTCGTTCGATTTGAATCTAGTCAAAATCGTCGTTTATTTCTCGGTCGTTTCGCGATTTCGAATGGTTGTGGTTCGCGTCAACTGGGATATTTATGCATTTTCGACGCTAAAAGTTTGAGATAAAGTGGGCTGGATGCGGCGCCGGATTGCGTGTTCGGAGCGTCACGTCTGAAGAGATGCGTCGTCGCTCTTTTGAGCCGCACACGACACAAAACACAGGTGTTTTCCGATTTGCCGTGACGAATTGCTTTATCTTTGATACATTTTTTTAATTTGTTAACGTTTGTTTGATGAGTAGTCGACATCATACATGCGCCAATTCTGGATGCGATTAAACTTCCAACAATTTATGACGTTAAGCTTTTACTCTTTTACTTTGTAAAAAATTTGTTTATTTAATTTTGGGGTATCGTAATGTCAGTTTTATTTAACTTAGAAACACAGGAAATTAATGGTTATGTACTGATGAGTTTGATATAAAAACACAATAACAAATGAAAAAAATATTTTTTTAAAGGATGTGGACAACACACAGTGGTATAAATTTTAGCTTAAAATATGCTTAACTTTTTGTTCATTCCTATTTGTCATTAAGAAAAGGCTCTTGCCAGAGTCTAAATAATATCTTTTGAGACGTCGGAGCGACTTCTCTGAAAATCTATTTTACTCGTAGAGTTATACTACAACTTACAATAAAGGAAAAGTTGATTAATGAATGGTAAATTGTTTAAACATTTAGTTGAAAATCAGGCTTTTTGCACTTACAAGATTATTGATTGAACTTTGGCCACCCCGTTTTTGCATCTAATTTGAGATTGAGGAAAAAATGTTAAATACAAAAGTTGTAGATATTAACATGTAGTTTATTTCAAGATAGTACCAATTCAGACAGGGTGTCTCAAATTCAAGTGACAGACCAAACTTACCTATATTTAAATGAAATGTTCTACTTTTTATTACATTTTAGAGCTATTGGTTAAATTCTAGGCCCATTCGATATAAATGTTCTATAGTGATGTTCAACTGTTTTTGAGTTAATAACCAATATTGATTATACTTAACGAACTCCCCATTAACGGGTGTAGACAATCCAATCGGACATTTTTAGATAAAAGGGCCTGTGGACGAGTCAATTATGAAGGGCTTTTGAAAATTTTGACACCCGATTTTAGTCAGATAATGGGGATTACCTGGTAATAAAACCTCACTAACCTAGGACGATTTTGAGGTACCTCAATTGAAGGTCAAAGTAAAAATTTTGCTATTTTTCCATGAGAGCCCATGTAAACAAAATTGTCGATCGAAGACACTGTCAAGCCAGCCACTTGAAATTGCTTTTTTAAACTATTGTTTTAAAGACACAACGACACTCTGTCAAAGAGTTTGTCATTATTTGACGTTTTTCACATTCAAAAATCAAAATAAAAATGTCGCTCCCATAAGAGTTCGTGTAAAGTGAAACATTGAATGTTTATATGTGATTGCACTCTAAAAGTTTGAATTTTCCAAAAACAAGTCTTACTTATGGTGGGATGTAATGACGTTATCGGTCGAATACTTGAGGAGGATCCAAGTGTAATAAATTGCTTTGGATCAGTATGTCATCTCCATGTCAAAATTTGACCGAATTTGGTACAAATTTTGAAAATTTCTCGCCAAAAATGTTGCATGATTTTAGAATGAATTCAATTGCTATTGAACTTGGTCGGCCGACGATCGACTGGACTGATTAACTTCAGCTCACCTCTTTTGGTTAGCGAGATATTTGCAGTTTTTTGGGAACCACATTTTCCCGATTTCCTCGAAAACTCTGAAAGCAGGAAACTTGAAAAAATACAGTGGAATAGTGATCGGTGAGCTGGAGATTTCATAAAAAATAACTTTTTTCGACAAGAAGGTGCTTGTGGTGAAATGTTACATGACGAATCAACTTTGGTTGGCTCAAAAATTTGTTTCTATGTGGGAACAGGGGGACGACCAAAAAGTTTATAAAAGCCCTTATGTAAGGGAAATTTACAAAATTGTTAAATGACATTAAAGTTGGCTGAAATTTAAACCAATTAGTATTGAGATAAATACGAATCAACTCCATGTCAAATCGATTCAGTAAAGTGGAAGAAAAAACTCCATTTAACTCCATGTAATCGGTAAATTGTGGTACCGATCAACTGAAATGCTTCCCAAAAATCAGAGAATGACGACGAATGGATTCTAGTTAGACCGAAAGATAGCAAATCGATGTGGTTAATGATTTTTCAATATCATAATGAGGAACTACAAGTTTCCGATTTTAGCCAGACCAATAAATTGAAAAAATGCTTCAGAATTTGCGACTTTTATAAAAAGGTAAGTTTGGTATCTCACTTTTGAGAGGTTCAAAATTGGCGTCATTTTTTTTAAGGGGTAATAGGGGCTCACTTGAAAGGTACGAGGAAAATATTGAATTTTTTTTTTGATAATTTTTAACAACTTTGTTATTAAGCATTATTTTGAAAGTGTTCTATGTTTAATTGGAAGCATATTGGAATACTTAAGCATTCAAAAATAAAAATTACGATCTTTGCTTCAAATTACGAGAATGTTTGATATTAAAAAAGTTTTCTTCTACAATGTTTTGTTGAAAAGTCAAAGCGGCATTGATGTTTTTGTCATTAACAGATAGTTACAGATGGATAATCCTTGTCAATAATAACAATAATCTATCAAACTGTGACTTACTTTGAATTTCCTTTCACGAATTTGCGGATATGCGATTAGTTCAAGGGAAATGATACAGTAACAGAAGAAACTGAAAGAAATCACGCCAACAAAGGGCGAGGAGAGTGGTTTCAGGAAGATAGTGGACGACAATCGATGTTCGGGTTCCAGACACAGAGGAACAAGTATTGGAGATAATCGAATCAGGGTCTTTCAGGAGTACTCATAGCACAATCACTAACACTTTCCCAAGCACCAAATAAATACCGAGGAAGGGCTATATTCATACCACGTTTGTACGATACACACAGCACAAGGAGATACAAATGGAGCAGGAGTTATCTAATTAACTGAATACGAAAAGCTGCTTGATAAAAGTGGATAATACGGAGATTACACAGGCACTAGCTTGTTTGGAGTTAACCATTCAAATGGTGTCGAAGTTTTCACCCAGGATATCTTTTTTCTCCTTTTTCCTCAGGGAGTCTGTATGTTTTCACATTTAACGATGTGTTCAAATATTCAATGTAATGAATGTGGTGTTGTTATTTGGTATCCTTTGTAAATGACATAGAGCTGTCGAGGAGACCTTAAATAAATAAATAAAATAATGGAATTAAATTCGGCTAATCAGGTGGCCGTGTGACGTTTGTTAGTGTCTAAAGTTTTGTTATCGCTATTGCTGTAGTTTTACCACAGGTTACAAGTGCTGTATCATCGGCATTTCGAAATATGAACACGGTTTCGTTAATTTGTTATTTGACGCGCAACATTTGTCGTTTTATTCGTCATGCCAGTATACATTTTAAAAATAGGGAAGACTGACGTTTCTTGAAGAAGCCCCTATCCCGAGCTAAAAATACGTCATTAACTGGTGTCTTCTCAAGTAAGTTTCTCATAACAAAAAATAAGAATTTTGCTTTTTAAAATTTTAAAATTTTACATAATAGTGCTTTGTGTCAATCGATGTCAATGGCTTTAGTAATGGCAATAAATAAACTGGCTAGTTTGCCGCCATTCAAACGCGCTGTACCTAAGTAATTTGTCACCGTGCATTGTCGCGTCTTTGGTACTGTAGGAAAATTAGTAAATTGGTATATAAGATGTCCCAGGAGAAATGTACATTATTCTAAGGGTATAATTTATGGGCCTAAGTAAACGAAGAAGTTTATATAAACATGGGCCGGGAGGCGCTAGGACTTGGAAATATGGGGGTTCAAAAAAAGTGTAAATCAATGTTTTTCTCATTTGTATGTTATGTTTAAATCTAGAATATCTACACACTAATTTAAAGAATCTTTTCAAAAATTCCATTATGGCCCTGGAGTATTTTTTACATTTTATAGTTTATTTATGGCTAGGGAAGAACGGTCGATTGAAAAGGGAGTTTTTTCTGGGCATAATCACTGCATTATTAATTCTATTCAACAAGTCTTACATTGCATCTACTCTTGTTGCATAAACAACTTCAGACTTTATCTAACCTCATATGTATAGATTAAGGTTCGGAAATCCAGGAGGATTCTTAACTGGTCTTCCAAAAATTGTTACCAATATCATCAAACATTTTTTCAAATTTTCTTGCAATTCTTGCAAGACTCTTACGATCTTTAATTACCCATGTTGTATCAAAGTGCCAAACGAAAGATTACTTATCATTCCACAACAGAAGTTAAGATTACAGAAGGTAACATCTGGATTATATTTCTGTCAGGGATGTTTATTATGATAATTGCTAATACCGTGGTGAGTGAACTGCCAGTCCTCAGTAAATGAAAATAGTGAATATGTATAATAAATAATGAGATTACAGAATTTGTGAACTACATGGTTTGGAACTACTCAATTAAAAAATTATAAAATTGTATTTGCCGGCTTCTTGAAAATGTGGAACAATTTGCACATAACGAGGTGTCAAGTTATTTCTCTTCAGATCGCCTTTCTTTCTGCGTTTCGGTCCCAATATCCAGGATAATTTCCCTGTTCTAGTATGTTAAACGTTGATAAATTATCCGATTTTATCTTGCTCGACTGTAGTTTGTCCGCGATTATTCATTTTCTTTAATTGTAACTTTGATTCTAGAAAATACACTATTTTTTTAATCAAAAGAAAAATTAACATTAAAACCTCAGCTTAGAAATAGCTATGGAAATATTGCTTGGGTCGTGCATATAAAAATAATCTTAACCCTTTACAGAAGATACATAACAGAATGTTAAAAATAGTGAATAAAAATAGTTGTGACCAGTCTCATTCTGTAAGTGGCTTAGAGCTGTCGAGGATAAAAATAGTTTTGTAAGTGACCAGCCTCTAAATCTAAATCAAATATTCGCGTATGAATGCCTAATTTATCATTATGATGAAATAAAAGGTGTATGAAACAT